TGTGTCATTTTAAAATCAGTTAGTGTCAGTTTAACATGCATCAATTTTACTTATTAAGGTTAAAATGTCTAAAAGAAAATATATAGAAATGAACTATTACCAGACTCAACCCTAGAAATAATAGTTCCTGGACCTGTTTTTAAGCTCTTTTAAGACCTATTTTTGTTTAAAATCATATTTTTCTGAAATCTTTGAAAATCAGCTTGTGCCAGTGTTACATGCATCAGTTTTACTTATTAGGGTAATAACAATAAAACAAATGTATACAGAAGTGACTTATTCCCACACACCACCCTTAGGGCGCCAGGACCCGAACCTGTTCCTTAAGCCCCTCTGAGATCTGTTTTTTTGAAAAAAGATAAACTTTTGAAATGTATTAAAACAAACTTTTGCCAGTGATACATGCATTAGTTTTACTTATAAGGGTGATGACAAGTAATATGTATACAGTGGGGGCGACGGGGGGCAAGGGGAAAGGGGTAAAGATATAAAAAACTGTTACAATTATTTTAAAAAGGTCTTTGTAAACATTTCTTCGGTTTTTTCAATTGTGAGTACCACTAGCCAAAATGCCCTAAATGGTGTCCCTCTGCCAGCCATATCTACCGCAGCTATAATTGAAATTTTTAAATTTGAAAATAGCAACAAATATTGTACTCAAATAAAACTTTTAAAGGAATTCAAATTTTCTTATGCGCTCAAGAAAACATTTTACAAATAACAAACTTCAAAATTTTTTAGATGAAATCACATACATAATTTAATCAAACCTTGACATTTAACTAAATTAAAAAATCACAGAAAAACAATAGCATACTTGAATAGATTAAATTGTTATTATTTAGAATGATTATGGCTTAACTGTTTTTTGTAGCTTCAGTTGAAAAATGTTTTCTATAATACTCAACTACTTGGCAGAGAAGCTGATGTTGATTGTCATTTTTTTGTCAAAACTTCATTAAAATCAGTGGCTAATATAACTGCCCATTCTGCACAGTCATTAGCCACTTTCATGACATGAACTATCTTACAAGCAAACTTGTAGTCATTACGATTAGCCCAAGTTTTAAAAGACGATTTTTAAAACTCTTTTGGTAGGTTGAGAGAGCTAAACAAATTAATTGAGCTTCTTTTAATTTTATTTTTTGCAACATTTGCAACTATGCTTTCAACCTAACAATAGTTCCTGATTACTTTTAAAAGAAAGAGATCATTTTATGGCACTTTTGTTATGAGAGGTGCTGAAAACCAGAAACCATCGGATTTTCGAGATGCAAGCCACTCTTTTTTAAACTTTGTTAGGCATCCAGTTCCGCTTTTATGACTTTTAAGTGGTTCAAGCTTTGATTTTTCTATAAACTTCCAAAAAGTTTAATGCTTGGTCATTTGATACAAAAAAAAAACATCAAACACTGCATTGGAACAGATTTCAAAAGTATAATGTTGACAGGCTAAAAACAAAACTCTTCGATTCATTGACTTTTGTAAAACTGTTATTGCCCCATTATGACTTCCTGTATTACTTGCAGTTGCGTCAAAGCAAAGACCTGCAAGATGTTTCTCAACACCAGGCCATTCATAAATAAACTTAACTACCTTTGTCCCATTAGAGCGCCAGTACCAGCAGGTATCTCAGGGATCCCTAATAATTTCTCAATATCCTAGCCAGATATAACAACTCATCTTGGCAGTGAATTTGTTTTGATAGCTATTTTGAGTAGCTGATTTTCTACTTCTGTGCTTCGACACTTGAACATGTTTACCATGAACTTGAATACTTTAAATATGAACTTGAATACTCTTTAGTTTAGCAACTACATGAGACTTTGCTATAGTTGAAATATTAGCCTTAGAACAGAAAATCATAACTCCATCTGCAACTGTGTGGCAGGATATTGAAAGAGTTGACTTTTTGATTAGCATTTCATAAATAACTTTACATAGGGCAAGGTCATATGTTGGCAACTGACTCGAGCCAGTAGTTGATCGTGTTGCTTTATCTGAAGCAGCAGTCATCTTAAGTAATATTTTTATACTTTTTTACCATAATAGAAACAATATAATAGAAGTTCAATAAACATAAAGTGCTCAAAGTCTAATAATAAAACATTTAAGTCTTATATGATATCCCCCCCCCCTCCTTTATATTCCCTACATTTTTCAAAAATGAAATTTAAATTACGCATTTAGGAGCGATTTTTGGTAAATAATGGTGAGGCTGTAAATCTAAATTTGCTTGTACTTTCCAACCTTCTGTAAATTATTTATACTGTAACATTATAATACTTTATACTATTTGTTTTAAAATCAATTTAGAGCATTATTTTGTATGAAATAAAAATAGAATTATAAGACTAAGTAATAAATAGATTAAGTAAAGTTTCAGTAATAATACTTTTTGGGTGTAGAAGGTTGTAAAGAAATTACCAGGCTAATTGTAGATTCAATTACTCCTAAAAGTTTTTAAAAATAACCATATTCAGGCTCACAAAAATGTAGTGACTTTAAACACTCTAATCGTAAATCCACGAACATTTTAAATATATGATTAGGAAGCAACAACAACGTATGATACTTAGTGATATCAGACTTTTCGGATAGTGTTTTTTAAGAAGAACATAAACTATTAAGTATAAAACTTTTTTTTGAAAATTTCATTTTGTTATTGTTATTAACTTTTTTTCTTTTTTTTTTCTTTTACAAAACAAGTAATTAATAATAATAACAATATATTATTATTATTATATATAATACTTATATGATAAATTTTAAGTCAATTAGCCTGGGGTTCTAAATGATGAACTTTTGCCTATAAATCACAGAAATGACATTGATTTCACCATACCTTGAAAAAACCTCCCGCACCTAAGACAGTTTCATATTTAACCATACAACACAAAGCAGCCTAAAGGCTATTAATTATAATATGCCAACTTTATGTACAATACACATGAGAAATACCTGAGAAATACACTGTCCTACAGCATTTGTAGTGATGTTAATAATCTTTCAGATTTATGTATTAGTATTAATAAATTTAAAGTTAAGACATTTGTTTGTTTTTTAAAGTTAAAACATTTGTTTGTAGAGAAGCATTTCACAGCTATGGAACACTTAATTTGGGATATTGCTGACAGCAGGTCTTCATAAGCTGTCTCTGCATAGTGCTGGTTTGAAAACCAGGCCCGCGACCATGTAGTTGCAACAAAATCGCAAGATATCCTCAGCTGTTCTCGCCAGTTTGGAAGAATGAAAAATGCAATAGGCGCAAAAATGCCTCTTGAGTTCCACTTGGAACTGTGCAGTGATGGCAGCTTGTTCCATTTGATACGAGGCCAGTTTACAGCTGTTGTGTCAGAGATGATCATCTGAATACTGTTCCATGCATTGTAGTCATCAAGTAGGTCCTGTAGTGGATTATATATGCTTGCAGATGATCCACTGTCACAAACCAAAATGCCAAGTTTTAATGTTCTTTTGTCATTTTTCAAACACACAACTTGGTACTCAGTCTTGTCAATTTTCTTACCATCAAAACGCAAAGAAAAATTCTCTTCAGAGATCAGTTCCATGAGGTGGTTCTTAACTTGATCTGCATTTCTGATTATTCAGACTCCAGACTCCAGACTGTAATGGTGTTGGGACACAAACTCCATCCTCAGCCAGACTTTGATGCACCCGTGACGTTTTTCTGGTTGACAAAGAGTGACTAGACACTAGTTTGGCTGCAGACTTAGTTGACTGACGTGTTGCACGCTTTCTGCGAGATTCTTTTGGAACTGCATCCGAGTCACCACTACTGCTTTGTTCCTCGGAATCCTCACTATCGCAGGAAAGTGGTACGGAGATAACCGCTTGGTTTGTCGAGGGTCTGATTTGCTTTTGGCTCTTTTTGATAGGAGCCACTTTCATAGTTGTATATCCTACCCTGCCATCTGATTCAATTTGTACTTTGTGCAGTAGTTTGTCCTCACTACAAAGCCAATTTCCATCTGGTTTTGTTATATCGAACAGATGAGCAAGATTTTCTTCAAATACTGCATTTGGTCGCTTTCTGTGTTTCTCAAACGATGTGATAAGTTTGTAAACATTAGCTCACACTTGTTGTTTGGAAAGAACAGGAAAATTAAACTTCTGCCAAAGATTCATCAATTTATCGGATATTTTTGTTAGTCGATCATGTCGTCCTTTCAATTAATTAAAGAGTCCCAAAAATCTTCTAACGATATTCCTGTTGCAAAGCACAATTTGTTGCTCATATCCTGTTTTACCTGTGGTATATTAGGTCGGCGCTTTGTGCTTGATTTTAAATTTTGTGTCCGTATTTCACCAGCTGCTTCCACCGCTGATTTTAAAATTTTACTTTTAAAGGACATATTTTCAAAAAGAAGCAGATCTTGCAAATTAATACTGCAAATAATAAAACTTTTTTTTTTTTTACATGTTTATTTTACAACTACAAAGTATTTACAATTGACCAATCACCGATTGGCGAATAAAAATATGCAAATATAAATATCGTAAACACAAAGTCCAAAATAAGTAAGGGATAAATCTAAAATATTGTTACATTCAACTTTGAGACATGATAAAAACAAACACAAAGTACACAATAGACGTGAACGTAAAAATTACCCAAGAAATAAACCTTTTATATTCTTCCAATTAAAATTATATATATATATATATATATATATATATATATATATATATATATATATATATATATATATATACATATATATATATATATATATATATATATATATATATATATATATATATATATATATATTTATATATATATACATATATATATATATATATATATATAAATATATATATATATATATATATATATATATATATATATATATATATATATAGATATATATATATATATATATATATATATATATATATATATATATAAATTAAAGTATGATTAAAACAAAGTTTGTATAAGATTGAAGAAAATATTTAATTTTTTGTATTTATAGGAAGCTCGAATAAGACTGGGGTCAATCTTGTCATCGAGTACCTTCTAGACGTGTAATACGCATAAAATCAGTTGCATACGTGGTAAATATGTAAGTGGTACATATATGCCTTAAAATTATTAGAACTTCTATCTCCTTTTAGTATTGCTTTTATTGTTTCCATTGAAAAGTTACATTTTTTGTTTTATTAGCGTTTTTTTATAGTATTTTTATTTTTAAATTTTATATTGGAAATTAAAAAAACTCCATGTAGTTGTTTAACTTGATTATTGTAGATTTTAACTTTGTTTTCAGGGACTGTTCGTTGTTTAAATTTATTAACGATTCGTTTCTAGAAACTATTCTGTTAAATAAATAGGGACCACAATGTTATTAATACTTCTACTTAATATTTTAATCGCGCGAAAATTAAAAAATACTCAACAACAAACAACAAAACACGCTTATTAATTTAAAAAACTGTCGTTAAAATTTGTTATTCAAAATTGAGTTATATAACATAAAAACAATTTAAAACTATCAAAATTTTTCATTCTATGTTAATTAACTTTTTAAACTGTTTGACGCTTTCCAACTTGTAGTTATATTCAAGCATTTTCAAGCATAAATATATATATATATATATATATATATATATATATATATATATATATATATATATATATATATATATATATATATATATATATATATATATATATATATATATATATATATATATATATATATATATATATATATATATATATATATATATATATATATATATATGTATATATATATATATATATATGTATATATATATATATATATGTATATATATATATATATATAGATATATATATATATATATATATATATATATATATATATATATATATATATATATATATATATATATATATTTAAATATATATAAATATATATATATGTATATATATACATACATATATATATATATATATATATACATATATATATATATATATATATATATATATATATATATATATATATATATATATATATATATATAAACACCAGTAGTGTAGGAGGGATTTTTGTTGTTTCAGATATATATTTAGAAGCTGTTGAATAGTTTAACTTTGTTATGTTTAAAAAAATTCAGGTTAGGAAAAACAATTTTTTTAAACATTTGTTCCTAAGCTTTAACAAAATCAATTTTTTGAAAAGTTTTTTAATTCTATAAACGTGAATACACTTAAGTTTGGTTGAGAGTGCTACCTGAAGCATCAAAAGACCCTGCCTATGCTACTGAATACACATAGCATCAAATATTTGTACATAACACATTTGCACATAACACAAAATATTCAGATTATGTGTTTCCAGAATAATTAAAAAAGCTAGACAACACAACCTAGCCCAACACTTGTAACACCGCTTGGCACTAAACGCTGCCAAGTAACACCACAATTTAGTAACACCGCTTAGCATTAAGTGCCAAGTAACATCATTAGTAACACCGCTTGGCTAGCAAGAATCACAATCTTGTACTACACGTTGCCAAGTAACACCACTTTTCACATGGAAACAACTTAATATAAAATTATATAAACTTAAGCACATAAATATAAATAAAGACATATAAACGAATCTTAATAATTTTTTGCTATACTAATCTAAAATGAACAAAAACAATAAAGTGCTATTTATCAGTTTAAACCTATGAAACTATGTGTATAGCGTCTAATAAAATTTGTGAACAAAAGATATAACTAAACTGGTTTGAAACAAAGAAAAAGCCAGAAGTATCTTGTAATAACATACTATATTGTAAGTAATAAAACAGTATTTTTTGAAACAAATAAAAAATTTTATTATTTTAAAAGTTATATTAATGGTAATATTATAAAGCAAAATTAGTTACAAATATTTAAATGACATGCCAACAATTGCAAACATGTTGCATCATATAGACCACATGTGGCTGACAACTGAATTTAAATACTATTTTATAATATATCTAAAAAGAATAATGTAAAAAGATTAATAGGTGTATAGTGCATATATTAGACATTTTAAACAGATATCATAGAAAAAAAAAACTTTAAATATATTTACCAAATCTTTCAAAAACTATATAACACTTAACAAATAAAAGTTAATACAAAAGAAAATTTAGTATTATTAAAATTAAAAATGAGAATAAAAAGATGTAAAAACGTAAATTAATAAAAAAACTTATAGACAAATTATTCAAAACTTTTATAACATAAGAGTTCTTTTTAAGTTTAGGATTTAAAAACAGAATAAAAATCAAAAAAATAAAATAGTAAAAGTAAATAAATTAAAATAATAAAAATTGCGAAATTAAAAAAACATTTTTTTAAAAAGTCAATTTTCTTTATAAATAAAAAAGAAGATAATTCTACCAGTAGTTTAAAAAAGCTACTGGTAGAAATTAAAAGAGTTAAACCGCTTTTCAGCACCCCTCCTTCTACCAGTGGTGTCATATGGGGCTTGTCTCCTCCATCTAAAAGAGGGATCATCTCCCTCATATTGACTCCACCGGTAAAAAGCTCTTGGAGATATTGGACCTGAGTGCTGGGAGCGATATTGCAGGAAATCTTGATGCGATGCTAAAACACAAAAACAAAAAAACAAAAATATTTGAATACAATACTGCACAAAACAACTAATAAAAATATTATTTAAAACTATTTAGACTTCAAAAAAAAAAAAATTATGACAAAAAAAACAAATAAATAAAGTAATGTAAAAATAAGGATATGCAATGTTTAAATTTCAAATATACACAAATACACATAACACCCACAAAACTGCATAAGTATGCAAAACAGATTACCTGATGGTCCTGCAGATATTGTTGCTATTATGGAAATAAATAAAAAAGTATATGAACTAACAAATATATATTAAACAGTTATGTAATTGCATACAAACATGAAAAAAGTAATGTTTAGGTTTCAATACACATAACACTGCATAAGTACAGAAAAACTGCATAAGTATAGAAAACACGTTACCTGGTGGTACTGCAGTTGATACTGTTGCTATTGCGGAAATAAATAAAAAAGTATATAAACAAACACATATATTAAACAGTTATGTAATTGCATACAAACACGAAAAAAGTAATGTTTAAGTTCCAATACACATAACACTCCTAAAACTGCATAAGCATGCAAAACACATTACCTGATGGTACTGCAGATGATATTGATGCTATTTTGAAGGTAAAAAAAAAAAAGTGTATAAAGTAACATATTTTAAAAATTTATGTAAATGATAACAAATATGAAAAAAGTAAAGTTTAAGTTTCAATACACATAAAACCCATAAAACTGCATAAGTATGCAAAACACATTACCTAATGGTACTGCAGATGATATTGATGCTATTGTGAAAGTAAAAAAAAAAAAAAGTGTATAAAGTAACATATGTTAAACTTTTATGTAATTGATAAAAAACATGAAAAAAGTAATGTTTATTTTCAATACACATAAAACCCATAAAACTGCATAAGTATGCAAAACACTACCTGATGGCACTGCAGATGATATTTATGCTATTGTAAAAGTAAAAAAAAAAAAAAAAAAATTTAAAGTATCATATGTTAAACATTTATGAAATTGCATGAAAACATGAAAAAAAAAAATTTAAGTTTCAATACACATAAAACTCATAATACTGCATAAGTATGCTAAACAGATTACCTGATATTATTGCTTGAGGTGTTAATGTATAGACAAAAAAATAAATAAATAAAGTAATCTGTAAATTAACATATGCTATCTTTAAGTTTTAATACACATAACACTCATAAAACTGCATAAGTATGCTAAACAGATTACCTGATATTATTGCTTGAGGTGCTAATGTAAAGACAAAAAAATAAATAAATAAAGTGATGTGCAAAATAAAATATGCAATCTTTAAGTTTTACATTAAATTACATCATTACCTGATGGCACTGCAGATGATATTGATGCTACTGTGAAAGTAAAAAAAAAAAAAGTGTATAAAGTAACATATGTTAAACATTAATGTAATTGATAACAAACATGAAAAAAGAAATGTTTAATTTCAATACACATAACACTCATAAAACGGCATAAGTATGCAAAACACATTGCCTGATGGTACTGCAGATGATATTGATGCTATTGTAAAGGTAAAAGAAAAAAAAAGTGTATAAAGTAACATATGTTAAACATTTATGTAATTGCATGAAAACAGTAATGCCTAAGTTTCAATACACATAAAACCCATAAAACTGCATAAGTATGCATTCATCTATAATTATTGGAAGGGTCATATTTTTTAATATCAATGATATCAAAGTTTGGCGAAAAAGTGAGAACAATGTAAAGGTGGTTATCAGGTAAAAAAATAGCGATTTTTGTGAAAAAATGTGTTTTTTAGTTTATCAGCCAACTTTGTTTAAAATTTAATTGGCTTTTTAACCATATATAACATGATATGGGTTAATTAATAAAAAAATGTAAAAAAATTGTTTTAGTTGGTAAGAGTAAAAAAAATTTACTTAACAACCGCATAGCAACCAATAATTTTTTATAGATATATTACCCAAAGACCTAGATTTAAACAATTATTTCTTTTCATGGGTCTGTATAATTAACTAAACTTTTGAACCAGAGTTATTTTTAGCAAAGCCGTATGTTTTGATGTTATTTGTTAAGCAGAAAGAAAAAAGTTTAAAGTTGTTTAAAAAAGTTTTATTATGGCAAAGAATAAAAGTTGGCGCAACACAAAATCCAAATGAGGCTTTCAACCAGATAATCTGGAAAAAGTGTCCAAAAAATATTTTTGTTACTAAAAAGGTACTAGATCTTGGTGTTGCTTCAGCTGTAATAAATTACAATAATGGTTTGAGAGGTTTCACAAGAATTTTTGATTATTTGCAGCTCTTGCCTGGAAGTTTTATGATCCAAGGATCGTGGAAGAAGGATGTATCAAGAGTAAAGAACACGATTAAAAATTCAACTCCAAAGCAAAAAAGGGCTAGAAGGAAAAGGAGATGTATCAGGAAGGGTTATATTGATAAGGAGAAAGAAAAAGAGGGAGTAGACTCTTATATTACAGGAAATTTTTAATTAATAAATTGTTTTTAAACTTTGAAGCTTGATTTCTCAATTGTTTGTTTTTGCCTGACTGCAATAAGCGAATCATTCATATCTTTTTAACCAGATATGCAATTGAGTTCAAATTTTCAGGGTTGTTTCTTTATAGATAGAACTGCAATAGCTTACTAGAACTAATCTTAAGCTTGTTTCCATTTGAATATATTCATATTTTACCTTTTTTTTTTGTATCAATAATTTCCGTTAAAATTGAAAAAACTGCCATTTTAAAAATAATAATTATTTTTAGTTTTTCTAGTAAGCTTTTGTTTAATACACTATAATCTATCAGTGTTGTAAGTTTTGGCTTATAATGTCATAAAGAGGCTGAGAAAATGTTGTTTTCTTTTTTCATTGATTTTTTTGCATTTTATGCTGATTCAGCAAAAAAAAAAAGGAAATTATTTTTTTTTATCATTTTTAATTATATTAATAAGTATGTTTCTTTTAAACTAACTTTGGTATATGATTAAGTTGGCAATCAAAAAATAATTTTTTTACCTGATAACCACCTTAACCTGAATTATATGTTATCTACCTATTTAATAGGTTTACAAATAAAACTTCCCTGATTAGTTTATAATTTATTTAAAACCCTGATTAGCTTTTAATTTATTTGCCTCTTAATCACCCTTAGCAACAATAACCGCCAGAAATATATTCTTAGCATTCTATTTAACGACTTATCTAATTAGTCTATTTTGTCACTAAGTTTTTTCAACAAAAAAAATACACATGTATTAAATGTATATCAATTTATTTATCTATTTAATTTAATATATATAATATATAATTTAATATATATAATTTAATCTAATTAATATAATTGAAATACTACTAATCAATTTACTGATAAAAATGGCATTGTTAAAAATGGTCATATTCTGAAAGGTAAAGAAATTTATTAAAAAGAAAGTTACACAAAAGAAAAAACTAAATAAAAGTTATTCGTTTCAAAAAACGTTTTACGAAGAGTTTTTCCAAACAATTTTATTTTTAACTGGGTTTATTTTGAATTACGTCATAAGCATATTAAGGCGTTTTGAAAAACAGTTGCTGCATATATTTATAGTAAAAAAGTTAATGTAGCAAAATAAACTTTTAATTGTCAAAAGAAAGTTTTAAAGTTTTATCTAGCTACAGGCTTTTTTTTTTTGCCTCCACAGCAGCATCTTATGAAGTAGCAGGGCTGTCTTGTTAAGTTTTTTCTTTATTAAGTTTCAGACAACTTTTTTTTCAGACCATCCGCAGCTTATTAGGACTAATTACATTCGCACATTAATAACATAAGTGTCTCAATTATCATAGATACGCAACATATTTTTTTTCCTGGTGATGTTTTTGTTTTTTTTAATGTTTTATGAAGTTTTAGCATTCTTAAAATCTTTTATTTTGTCAGTGCATAATATTGTTACGTTACATATGTTTGTATATAATCTTTATAAATTTTCGAAAGTATTTTGTATTTTAAAATAATTAAAAAAATTAAAAAAAATAGCCGCCTTTGGTAGGAGTCGAACCTCTAGTTCCTAGTTCAGAAGTTCGCCGTCTTATCCACTCGAGCTACACCGGCATATCATCAAGTGTAGATTTTATAAAAATGTAGTAATTTTTTGACGAAAAAATGTTAGATCAAAATTAAGGAGAGGTTGACGCAATGTAATTTTCAAGTAAAAATCAAACTGTAAAACGTGATAAATGTTTCAGTATGTTTTCACATATGCTTTAACATTACATAAGTTAAAGTTTACGTACGTTAGATGTTCGTTCACGTTTTCATATAGCGCTGCGACTCTTTCTTGCCAATACCTCGGTTGCAATGGCTGCCAAGGGTTTCGTGTCAAATACGCTCCAAGGGACACTACTATTAAAACTATTAAGTTCGGCAATATTATATAGAAGATTATGAGTTATGGTACAGTATGAACACATAAAGATCTCTAGCCTCCATCCATGACTGGTATCCTAAAAGAAGTTCCACTCTGGGTCTACACCAGGGTCTCATTTTAAGTTATTCAATTGCGCTATTCTATAAGGACTATTCTCATAGTATTCTCATTAGGACGGTTGTCATAGACTTCTGAATCGACACTGTGACTAGAGGTTACTTAGTAGGGCTCAGTACAATTTGCAAACCATTCTAAGTAATTTTTTGACTTTAGTGTCCATAAGTGAGGGGTGGTTGCAGTATAACATGGGTCAAAGAGAGCTGTGAACTGTTTTGAGTTCTTTTAGCTGCGTGTTTAATATACGTAGTCGATTTAGTGTACAGGTGACTACTGTAGTGGCATGTCTTGATAATAAGAGTTACTAGTTTAAAAATAGTTAAAAGGCATTTATATTGGTGTAACGTAAGCTAGACGTGAGTAATAAACGTGTATATTAAAAAGTAGCAAACTCCCAGAGGGCTTAGTTACGTTTATTATACGTACAATGTACGTTCAAAATACGTCCGTCCGTCCATGTACTAAAACTGAACCTTTAAAAGTAGTTTTATACAAATCAAACTTAAATAGCAACTAAACTTAAAATATTTTTATAAGCTTAGCGTTATACATAGCAAAAATCAGCGTTATCATCTAATATCATAGTTTTTTACGATTTTAATTTTTATAATTTGTTTCTCAAATTAATCTGCGGAAGACAAACAAACGTGTTTTCCGAAGAGATGAGACCATTGTATATGAAATGACAATAGCTAGACAAAAGCTTTGCAAATTCATGGTTGATAAAGAATGTCTTTGGTCCAAGATAAATAAATAGAAAACAAAGTTTGACGATAGATTCATCAAGTTTAGTCTCTAGAGAGCATTCAATTCAGAAGAAAATGATCCAGATCCAGACCTTAACAATTTGTTCTTCTTTGTATATTAAGATATACAACAAAAGAAACTGCTTAAACATTTAGAAATGAACTTGGTTTTTTTTGACGTTAATACTGAATAATAAGATATGCGATGTCTTTTTTATTGTAATAAAAACTAATAATGATTACAACGTTGTGGCTATTTTAGTTTGTAAATACTAACCCACAGAATCTATTTCAGAAGTACTAATGTAACAAAATATGGAATTCCTATATGCAACAAAAATTCTTTTTTACTGACTATTTAAGTAAAGAAAAAAATGCGCATGAATTTATTTTTCCAAGGTAAAGCATTTAATTATTGTTATTTAATGATGCTAAATAAATTTTTGTGATTTAATTTCAAGAAATCGCGCTTTTTTTTATTATGATATTTTATTGTGAATTGCTATTTTATTTATTATTATTTTGATCATAAGTCATCTTGCATAGATTATTTAAATTTTGTTTTTCGATTTTAGTTGTGAAGTATTTGCTTGTGATTTTCATTAAGAAAAACATTGGTTGTCTAAAGGATAATGGATGTAGCATGGTAAAAATGACAATGATTTAGTTATGTATTTAAAAGGTTTTAATTATGATCATAAATAACAAAAACAAAAAGTTTTACGGTCTTATTAAAGTTGACGTAATATAATTGTTGATTTTAAATAAAAATTTCAATTGTACAAACAATTTTTGTGATATTGGTTTTAGTTTTCTATTTATAATAACAAAGCATTTATAAACTTACTTTTATTAATACAATTGCAATGTTTATTGGATTCAAAGGTGTTGTTTTTCATTATATGATGGTTATGAGAGTTAACTAATGATTTGATGTTTGGCATACAACTGTAATTCACCTTTAGAGTATTTCTATTAAAAATCTTGTGGCATTTAGGGTCAGCTGGGTAGTGTTTGTCTATTAAACTCAAAAAGAGTTTATCAATTTTGGTAGAAAGATTTTTACTATAAACGAGATTATATTACGTTTATAACCCTATTATTATTATTATAATCTTTTTACCAGACAATGGTTTTTTTATTTTATTATTATTTATTTTATTATTATTATTTCATTATTTGAAAAAAGATGGTTAGGAAAACTGTTTATGCTTTTATTATAGGGCACCCAAAATAACCTTCTTTTTGTTGCGTTGTTATCCAGCCCGCAGAAGGATAATTAGAAAAATAAAGTAATTTTTAAATAAAGCAGAGCTTTAGAATAAGGTTGAAATTTTTTTTCAAACGGTAGTTGAACTTCACAAAATGTTTGTCGGCAATTAGTTGTCCCGGATTCTTTCAATTAATTTTTCACTTCCTTCCAGACTAGCTAGAGCTCAAAAGTTTTTCAGCATTTGTGTATTTTTAATTTTAATAGAAGTACATCTTAAAATTGTTTTCAGAGCCAATTGGAGAACTCTATTTTTTTTTTTTTAATTTATCTTTCAGACTTTACTTTGATTTTACTTTTTCTAGGCAGTATTTGTGTAGTCCCAAAGAACATACATGTTAAATTTGTACCCTGGGCAAGAAGAGTTGTCCTTTTTTTTTTGTCTAGTATTTTTTTTTTCATTAAAATTTAAGGTAACTTTTTAGATAAAAGACATTTTGCAAAAAAGGAATTGAAAAAGCAATTTTTTGATTTCATTGTTTTAGAATTAAAATGTCGAGAGAAAAGAGGTTAGTAGCCCTAACGAAAATTTACCATAAAGGAGCCGTGCATTTTTGTAGCTATACTGCTTTTTGCTACTCTTATTTAACCTGCTCGTTGCAAGAGCCATTCCGATAAGACTTCTCATTGGGGACGGTTTCGTATGTTTTTTTTCCAACTAGAGACACACACACACAAAATAAGGGGTCCTGGATAATTAAATATTGCTAATTATACTTTAAAATTTGCTAACTGAAATGCTAAATGTAAAATTATGCTAACTAAAACGCATAAAAAATAGCTTTGAGGTGGGGGATTCACCTTAACTCCTTGTTTAAGACGGCGTTGTGCTTAATCTTTACGCAAAAC